GTTGCTTGGATTTGGGTGAGGTGAATAGCACCAAGATGTTGTGTCAGGGTGGGTTTTGTTGTGTACTTCTCTTGCTGGTTGGCTGTCTTCCTGCATCACCAAATCAGCTCATTTTCCTCAGTGACTTCATGTCTGTGTCTTCTCCCCTTACAGGGGTAATTCCTCCTCTCCAGCTTTTGGGGAACTGAAGGACTATTACCTCTTCTATCTGAAGAGCAAGTCTCCCCGTGAGGAGCTTCTGAAGATGTGGGGAGAAGAACTGACTGGTGAGGAAAGTGTCTTTGAGGTGTTCACATGTTACATCACTGGAGAACCCAACAAGAATGGGTACAAGGTGAGAGGCCAGGAAAGGATGCTCAGTGTGGCACAAACAGTAGTGCATGTTTCCTCTTGTTCCTGGTATCACATTGTTTTTCTGAAGAAGAATTGGCACTTCTCTGTCCAAAAGGATTTCCTGGCACACTGGTTGAAGGAGGTCCAGCAGCCAGAGTTAAGGCTCAGCATAAAAGGAAAGGTGCTACAGTATGATAGGACCAGTACTGACTGACTTCAGCAGTCATTCTTACAGTTGAGCATATCCTAACCCCTTGAACCACACCTGGGCATTCTCTCCTGAAGCAGGTGTGTTTGAGGCTATTAAGGCACTGCTGAGTTGCCTCAACACCCAGATGGTAATCAAAGAGTTGTTCCATCCATTGTGAGCCATCCTCTCTCCTCATGGTAGGTCACATGTATGCCTTGGAATGATGACCCTCTTGCTACTGAAACCAACCTTCTGAAGGACCAACTGGAGAAGGTCAACAGACGAGGAATCCTGACCATCAACTCCCAGCCAAACATCAATGGCAAGCCATCCACAGACCCCATTGTAGGCTGGGGGCCCAGTGGAGGTTATGTTTTCCAAAAGGTACCGTAGTACTCTGGGCTAGGCAGCAAAGAGTTTGACCTAGTTTGGCCTCTCTTAGGCTGGGAGGTTGCAGGCTTACCTCCACATAATCTTTCTGTACACACCTATCTTACTGCACACTTGGTGAGATAAGGCAAAGCTCCTTTGGTATCTTAAGAGCCATAATACCACCTCTATGGCTGACTTCACAGCTATTTTCCCCCACCTCAAAATACCTACTGAACATCTGTAGAGTTTCATGGTTTTATTCTGAGCAAGTAATTGTTGGTAATTTATTTCTAGAGCAGGGCTGTGACATTTTATATATACACATGTGCCTGCCCCCTGCATCTGATTCAGTGATGCACAAAGCACCCAGATTTTTAACAAAATTTTCACAAAAAAAGAGGTAAATTCCCATTTACCTCTATCTGGTGGTTTCTCTACTACCCAGCATCTCATGGTGATAAAAAGATATTTTAAAATTTCCTCTGTATGTTGGAGTTCTCCCAGCCCATGCACTGTGCTGTGCTGTTTAGACAACTGTCACGTTCCTGCCCTGGCCTGCAAACAGTCATGCCTGCCATGCCTGTCTCCCCCTGTCAGGCATTTCAGGCCCTAGAGCCTTGTCTAATGGCTGTGATAGGAATATCCCATCAAGGTAAATGCCAGGCAAGTAGCTCATACTGGAAGACAAAGCTTCCCTGTTCAAAAGGGATCCAAACCAGTAAAGCCAGAGACTGGCAGATGGCAAATGCATTTATGTTTTCAAAGGAAGAAATTCCCCTGAGGTGATGGAAATCCATCATCTCATGCAATTACCAGGAAATGAGGGAGGGGAAGCAGTTGTTGGGAGCAGCCAAGCACAGAATTTGGTTGTATAAGCACACGGGGAGAATTGTGAACAGAAGATGAGGACAGGGAGTGGTGCTTGGGAGAGCCCAGCTGAGACCCCAGAGTTCTGCTCTCACCAGGCAAGACACTGCTGTAAAATCAAGTTTAAGCTCAGGCTTCTTCCAAGCATTCTGGCATAACTGCTTCCTTGTGCAGCAGTTGTGGTAACTCTGGAGTTTGTTCCTGCTTGTCTACTTATGTGGATGCGAAACAGGAGCATGTAGGTTTCTTGAGTGCACTGTTCCTGGGCTGTTCCCTTTGCTCTCCCCAGTTATTTTTTCACCTAGCTCACTTACTAATTTACTCTTGCTCAAAACTCTGTTTTTGGGAATGAACCTACAGGGCAGACTAGACTCTACAAATGTTGTTGTTTACCTGTATTTGTCCAGTTCTGTTGTGATTTAAGGCTCCGATTCTCTTCCCCCTTCTCCATCTCTCCCTGCAGGCATACTTGGAGTTCTTCACCTCCAGTGAAATTGTCACGGCACTGCTCAAAGTGCTGAAGAAGTACGAGTTGAGAGTGAACTACCACATTGTCAATGTCAAGGTAAGGCCATTATTCACAGGACTCTTTCACCACCCTGGGAGAGAGACAAATACCAAATATTCAGACGTGAGGGCTGATGAAGGGAAGTAAAGTAAAGGAAAGGGATGAAGGGAAAGTAAAGCACATCACCTGTGGTGTGCAGCAGCTGTCTGGTCTCTAAACAAAAATACACTTTTTCCAACTAACTCGGTCCCTCCTCCAGCAGTTGCTTCAGAAAGGTTTTCCTTCCTTTGGCAGGGCCAGAATATCACCAATGCTCCAGATCTGCAACCCAATGCTGTCACCTGGGGTATCTTCCCAGGAAGGGAGATCATCCAGCCCACTGTGGTGGATCCTGTAAGCTTCCTCTCCTGGAAGGTGAGTCCTACCTTCTGTTGGAAATGTTGCTGTGATGCCCTGGAAGTTCAGAGTGCCTGGTTTAGTTTTAGTCTCTGACACTCCTCACAGCTGGGGGCTGTTGCTATACTGACTTGCAGAGGTACAGATCTTGCTCCTCCTGCTTCCTCAGCTCCAACAAGAGCTGTTGCCAGACACAAAGCACCCAGTAATGGGGACTGAGAGCCACTACTGTCACTGTACCAGGCCTCGGAGTGCTGGACAGTGGCTCTTCCTCCCCTCTTACACACACAGGGGCAGCATTGAGCCATCCACTGTACTGCAAATGTGTCCCCTTCCAGCTCTGAGCACTTCACCCTGACTGGAAAGCATAAGGCTCCTTGCTCAACTCTTGCCATTTTTACTGTGAAGAAACCAGCCACAGTCTGGCCAGTCATGTGTAACACTGGGTATCCTAACTTAAGTAACATGAGGATGTTTCACAACTGACAATTGTTTTTGTTCCCGTGGCAGGATGAGGCCTTTGCGCTGTGGATCGAGCAATGGGCCAAGCTCTATGAAGAGGAGTCACCCTCTCGCATGATCATCCAGTACATCCATGACAACTATTACTTGGTCAATCTGGTGGACAATGACTTCCCACTAGAAAACTGCCTCTGGCAGGTTGTGGAGGATACTTTTGAGCTGTTGAACTCTCCAACTCCGCAGTGAAAATTCTTCTTCTCATCTCTTACTTCCTCCTCCCATCCACTGACTTCGGGAAAAGCAGCAGCTACTGTGTTGACAATTAACACACTCTTAAACCATGACCAGAGCGGTGCTCTGATCACAAAGTGATCACAAAGTGACCCACACTTTGTGCTCTTCTGTCCTCAGCACAAAGGCTCCCTGAGCCATTCTCACTGAACATCAGCCAGAACTACCTGAACATCTCAGCTGAGGCTCCAGACTAAGCCCAAAGGCCATGGTCTGCAGGATGAAGAGCTGCTAATCATGGTTATGCTAATTACACTAACAGAAAACAGATTCCGGCAACTTTCCCCTCTGGTAACTTTCCTGTGCCAAAAATGCTGGCAAGGGAACAGAAACACTCCTGTCGGCTGTACCTGTGCAAGGGGATTATATCACCAGTTACCAAGCTGGAAAAGAAGGTCAAATTGCTTTTATATTGCACTCTTAAAATGTATTTCTTCACAGTTCATCATCAAGCACTTTTGCACACACTCCAGAAGAAGGTTCAAATTTTATTCCTAACTCTTCTCCTTGTATTGTATTTCCTGTTATGGGAATTTCCATTCTGGATAAAACTAAGTAGGAATCACACTATTTCCTAGATAACATACAATAAAATACATGCATACAAATGTCTCTTTTACTAGGTCATGCTCTAGCAGAGACTTGTGTTGTTTGCTAATTAATCACCTGGCACGAGGGAAAACTTTAAGAAAATTAATTTTTTTCTGGGACAGTTCTGCTTTCACTTTCAGTGCATGTCCTGAGTATGGCCCAAGTTCCACTTGGAGACTGGAGAAAGTGTAAATCCTAGAATTTACCAAAAGTAACCAGCTATACCATTTAGCTCAATTCTGCAAGGTCACATATTCTTTTCCAGTGCCTGTAGGGAAAGATAAGCTTAGGTCAGGAAAGATAGGTTATCTTTCTAATGACACTTAACAGCCTTAGGCCCCAAGGCATTGGAATAAGAGGTTGGGGAAGCTGCTGAGGCTGCTTTGTGTACTTAACAATCCTGCAAAGCTGCCACAGGCTAGGAAAACTACCTTGGAGTAGTTCCCAGTGGGATTTCAAGATCCCCACCATGCTGTGAGCATCTCTTTCAAACAAGCACGGAAGAAAAGCCTTTTCCAGATTGTTCAGACCCTCTTGTTACAGCTGTCCAAGACCGGGCTCATATATCCAGGGTAATTACAAGGCATCAATCATAGAGGCAAGTAATGGGAAGGCTGGGGATCAGACACGCCTGTCTCGCCTCAGCAAAGCTTTTGCTGCTCAGCTGTTCCCAGCAGGTTTCTTCATACCTTGCCCATTCAGCACAGAAATGAACCAGCAGGAAGCAGTCAGGAGGTTGGCCACCCACTGAAAGGCTTAATGAAGAGCTGATGGACTAGACAAGGGGGAGGAGGTGGGAGCCATGTGGAAATCTGACCCCCCTCCAGGGTAAAAGCCAAATCTAAAAATAAAAACCTGTGTTTGCACCTATCCAATCTAGACTTTGAAATCAATAGGATCCAGCACCCACAAACTCCTGCTCATCTCTAAGACTGTATTTGCATACTCCCCCCTTGATACCAAGCTCCTGTCCAGGAAAAAAACACTGAATAAAAGGAAAGCCTATAAGGCTTTTTTGGCCTTTAATCAGAACTCCAGCAAAAGCATGGTCCAGAGAAGAAGAGAATGCAACGTCACAACTCTAAGTAACTTCTCAGTTTGTGTTGCTAAGGAGGTAAGATACAAGTCCTTTAAAGAGAACCCTTCACTGGGTACCATCTCTTCCTGGTTGTTCTTTGGCTGTCACCCTTCTGACTGGCAGCACTGCTTTTATTATAAGAGCAGAGTGTTCTTTCCTGATAGCACAGGGCCACCTCTTTGTTGTGACAGGAGCCACATCCTCCACGTGTCCTGAACTGAGCAGCAGCTGCAGGCAGGCCCCCTCCATTCAGCAGGATCCTTTGTCCTTACGCTGGAATGCTGTGAGCTGCCACCACCTTCCAAAGGCCTGAAAGAGGAAAGTGTACAAATCAAACACTTGGGTTACCCTTGAGGGGCTGCAGTCATTCTTACAGAACCCGTAAACATAACTTTCCTTCTAGCAATGGTTCTGCCAGCTGCCTTACCCTTCACTCAAAACCCTTCCCTGTCTCTCCTGGAGCCAATATGGGGCATGCAGAGTACAAATCAAAGTGAGAGAAGAAAGATCAATGCTCTCTAATTTCAGTACCTGCTCCTGTCTCCTTAAAGGAGGTCCTAATCCTGTATGAATCTTCAGGAGGCAGGAAGAGGAACAAACTGGATATGAGTTCTAAGGCTTTGCCTGCTTGCTCAAATTCATAGTGATTTGCTTGCCCCTGGATGCAAGTCAGCACAGTCCTCCTGCACCAAAGTGGAGCCTGTTTCTTCCCTGAGTGGGGTCTCAAGAGGCAGGGGATTAGGGGATTAACATCACTAATAACAGCAGGGAAGGGGGCACATGTCAGGGAAATTGACTCCTGACACAAAGCTTTGAAAAAAAACCCATAGATGAACCCATGTAAAGCTGGAAGCTATTTTCCTTTTTTACTGGCAAGTCCCATTCCTTGATGTATTCAGCTTCTCCCTAAGCAAGTGCATTGTGCAGAGAAGAGAGATACAGGGAACACCAGTTGTCCCTCTGGGGTTCTTTTTGTACCACTGAGGTGCACTGAATTGAAGAAGGCATAAATGCTTACCTGAGCCAGGAGGCTCCTGGCTTCCTCCTCCAAAAGCTTCTGCACCACACAGCTTTGCAAGTAGCTTCGTCTCCACACCTTCCAGGTCTTTTCTAGCAGCCGCCGCTGGTCCTGCCAGGAAAAGAGGCAGCACACAGATTAACTGGGCTCTGGCAGGCACATTACCACACTTCCCTCCAGTCCCAGCTTGTTCCAGTTGCTTTCCTGAGTCCCTCTTAAAAGACTTTGCATTGGTAACAAACAGAGCAGACTAATAACAAGAGTTGCTGAACTACTCTCTCCAGCACAGTGTGGCTGAGTAAGTCCCAGTACCCTGGGGAGAGGACAATGCCCCATTGTGCTCCAGCACAGCTCCTCAGTGCCTATGGATATGCTCACACTATACAGGCATCATCTTGTTACCTGGGCAGGCCAGAGCACATCTCACAGCTAATGCCCAGGAACCAGGCAGAACATGGGTATGAACAGAAGGGGAAGCCAAATGACAGCTCTTGGTAAACTGTGGACACCAGTGGGATGTATCAGGAACACAGATGAGGACAAAGATCCTAACAACTGCTGTGAACTTTTTGCACAGTCTACAAACAAATCCTGTTTCAGCTTCCCATCTGTAAGGGCAAAGCACAACTAAATCTGTGGATACACCAGTCTGCCAAGCTGACATTTCACGAAGAACAATGGCCAGGATGTAAGTGGCTACAGGCAGAGCAGGCTGCCCAGTAACACCCATCACTGCCACCCCAGTGGCACCGGACACTCACCAGCACCTGAGCCAGTATCACCCCCCTGCTGGCTTCCCTCCACTGATGCCATCCCCTTGGCAGACAGAGCAGTTTCCTGTCATGCTGGCACTGGTGCAGTACCACTGTGTGATGCCACCTCTTCAGATATTTCCTTCTGCAGAAAAGAAGCAAATAAGCTTTACCAGCCATACAAGGGAGCCCTTTCCTGATGGGATCAGCAAGAGGAAGCCCAGAGCCCTGCACTCCACTTACCCCAGCCACTTCTTAGCCTGCTCCTCCAAGTCCAGCTCTGCTGTGTTCTCCTGGATCCTTGGATGGGCACAAGAGGGTCCTACCACATCAGGTCTCTCCAGCAACCTTTCAGCCCTTTTTTGGCTCCTGTAGATCACCAGCCAGCGCTGAATGGCACTGGGAAAATGTCCAGTTGGTGCTGAATCTTCTTCTCTGCCTCTTCTGCTTTCTAAGAAACAAAAGAGGAATCACACAGGAGTTAACCTTGGAGCTAGAGAGGGAGCCATCAGAGCTGCCATAAGCCCTTAGTCCTTCAACTCCTGAGCACAGAAGAAATCCACCGAGTTTGATTGCCATGAGCTCCGACTCCACAGAGGAATCCCAGTCATTAAGCTGGTAAACACCAATCCCCTTCCTTCCCACTCCCCACATGGGTCTGTGAAAGAAAGAGAGGAGGGAGAATCTTCTTACTTGTGGGCCAAGAGAGAGAGATCTTCCTGCTTTTCCTAACACCTATGAGGGTACTGCGCTGCCGTAAGCACTGGGAAAAGGCAGCTGCTCTGGTCCAGTAGTTGCAGGCCTGCAAACAGAAATAACACAGCTGCAGCCAAGAGTAAACATAATGCACACAGCACTCACACAAACCAGAGAGACAGGCTCACAGCTCTGCAGGTAGCTTAATGTGCTAGACCCCAGGCTGGAAACTGCACAGATGAGATCCCAGCAGGACTGACTCAGCCCTTCCAAATCAATGGACCTCTTTGTAGTTTGCTAGCTGTGAGTCTTTTGAAAAAAGCTGTAACTCTGGCAGCTCACTCTGCTCTGCAGGGACAGTGATTATCCCATCTTATCTTTGAGCAGAGAGGAAGGAGTGCTCTCATCTCTCTGGTCAAAATGTCCCCTTTCCTTATTGCTGTGCTCCATATGTTACTGCAATCAGTGCCAGATTATGGTGATGAAGTTGTGTGCACAGGCTGTGAAGAATTTCACAGCAGGGACTAAGCAGTCACCACAAATCAAACCAGGTTTTTATACAAGCCTTGTCACACCATCTCAGTGCCTCATGACTCACTGAGTTAATAATAACTGTCTCATAGGGACCTTTATCTTCTCATACTTAGGGAGCTTTATCTTCTCTTACTTGTTTGACAGTAGCCACAGATCCCAGGTGCAGGTCTTGCTGTCCTCTTGTAGCCACTCGCCAGCGGTGACAGGCTTTACCTGGAGAGGGCTCCTGCCTCTTGTGGTTTCTCCCTCCCGGCACTTGTTCAGCTCTCCAGAGTTTGTCCCTCCACTTATTAAAGCTCACAATCAGGAGACGGTGCTCTCTGACTCTTTTTAAATAAGAGAGGGCCTCATGCTCTCTCAGTTTACATGCAGTGACCTGGGCCCAAGTGACAAGGCACCTGAAAAATAGTTCCAAGCACAGAAAAGAAGCAGATGCCTAGAGTAACAATTCCATGTCAGACCAAATTTCACCTTCTCACCTGCCCTGCAGTATCCCACATAAATGGCCAAAACAAGCCAAAGAGCATTCAACAAGAAAAAAGCCTGTTCCTATTATTCCTGCAATCAAGATTTATGCATTGACCTCTATGCTACGTATTTTTCCAGTGCCTCATCTTTTGGAGGTGCAAGTTCAGACTCTTAAACTATCTTTCTGCTGAAAACCTGCCCTCATTTTGCTTCAAGTTCCCAGCACTGTTACCTCTCACCTACTCAAAGCCCAGGAGACTCTGCTTCCCTCTGGCCATTTTAGCATCCTCCTCTTCAAAGGCCTCTGCAAACTGAATCCAATCTTACACTACACTTTTCCTTTGCCTACAAAACAAATGCTTTTCCTAGGCTGCCTTGCAGTACACATAACTCAGTCCCTCTCACAAAAAAAAAAAAAAAAAAAAATTTAATTAGCCAGTCTTCAGTCTATCTCTGTGCTACCAGCTGACCAGAAAGATGGTGCTTGATGAAGGTTTTTTCATTTTTTCATTATGGGATGAGAGTAAAACTGTTAAAATCTCCTTCAGCATGGAACCCAAGTCTGCTTGCAGTATTTATGACAGCCGCTTGTTGACAAGATTCAGATTTTGTTTCTTGGCTGTCACAAATTAAGGCCCTGCATACGTGGTATGTGCAACTAGAATCTTTACAAAGGCAATTTTATTCCAAAAAATCAACAACTTGAGGAGTTACTATTATCAGCACTGTAAATCTACACCCACAATAATCTCTCTGTATCTCGCAGGCTGATGCACAGGAGGCCAGTCTTCCTCTGCAACCAGAGAATGCAATCTGCTTTTAACTCTGGTTTATCCTTTTGGTTCCTTGTTCCATTTGGACCTTCATTATGCAAATCACCCCACTGTACCATAGGGCAGAGGTGTGAATATCCTGTGCCTGGCAGGCTTTTTGGAAGATCAAGAGAAGCTATTCCAGGTTATCCTAGCATGAAAAATGCCCCTCTCAAAAGAGACAGAGCTCATCCAAGTGAGAAATTAGAAGCACTCTTGTCAAAGGAGACTCAGAAGGCAGACATACTCTATAGGAAAGAGCAACTTAAGGGCTTCTCCTAAATACAATTCCCGTGAGGGAGCCACAAAGATAGATTTGCAGAGGAAAATGCAATTGGGTGGGGTAAGTGCAGAGTCTAAACATCATAGCCACCAAAGTTTTACCAGGTTTTTAGCTGCTATTTCCTCTGCAGATCTTTGTGTCCTCTCAGTCTGAACCTGCAATTCAAAAGAAAACCTGGTAGTGCCAAACCTGCACTTCTTAAGCCTTAAATGAACCCTTGGCATAAATAATCTTATTCTCCTGAATTATTTTAGAGAAACACTTCAACAATCCTGGTTCGCTACAGCTGGACACCTCTCTGCACTATGAGATAGGCACTGGCCTCATACAACATAAACTGTGAACAAAACTGTTTCCAATGAGAAGGCCACTGAACACAGTTAAGAGAGCAAAGAAATTAAATTCTTGTGTTTTGGGGATCTGCCAATATAACATAAGACTCAAAGACAGACTACAGCTTCACCTATATTTTAATAACACCAAGATGAGTTGAATAGCATGGTTCTCCCTTCATAAGCTTTATACTGCTTTGCTGCAGGAACAAATCAATCTCAACTTTTCACATTAAATTATAATCAACACACTGTGTTCAGAATCCTAAAAGACTAACTTTGTAAATGTCAGATTTCTGTAAGCTCTCCACCCACTATTCCTTTCAGCAAATACTGAAGTGCAAATAAGGTTTTCAATTTTTAAACACAAATTTGTTTGCATCTCTCCCTTGCTTAGTGCACAAATACCACCCTGCATAACTAAGACTGAATGTGAGTTCTGGAAGGAAAAGGATTTTTGAATGGGAAAAATGAGGTGGGGTGTGAGGCTTTAGGTAAGAGACCCCTTTATATAGACATCCTCAGAGAAGTGCTCCTACAGAAGCTCCATTTATACATGAGCTATCCACATTTTCAAACCCAAGCTCTGCTCGTAATACAGTAGATACTACTACATAAATTACTCTTCATGCAGAGCTTCCCTTGGAAATGCTTTGAGAGCAAGAAACCAACCTGTGCAGGAGACGACGTTCCCAGAATAAAACAGCATATTTCTGCTTCCTTGTTTGGTCATACCATTTCTGCAGGACCAGCCTCTTCTTCTCTTGGCAGCTGTGCCAAGCCCATTGCTGCTGCAGTTCTCCCAGAGCACGCTTCCCTGCAAGAGAGCACACCTTCCTGAGCTCAGCCCAATGACTCTTTCTCCACTGCAGAGTCCAGACAAGAGCAAAGAATACATCTCCTGCAAACACCAAATGGGACCAAACTTGCTAAGATTTCCTGTCCTCTATTTAGAAGCTAATAAGACTTTTCAATTCACCTCGTATGTTTTTGCCTGCAAGGCAGTAAGACCTTCTTTCAAATTTTCCCTGCAAGAGATCATAGATTATTTCCACTCTTAACTGCAAGGCAGTTTTCCATTAAAAATTGGGAGTTTTTCTTCCCTGGCACAGTGCAAGTACTTAGAGCACATGGAATTCCTTGAGGAATCAGGATTGTTAAGCCACCCCTAAAGATACACCTTGTTCCCACTGAAGCAAAACCTGACTGCTTGGTCTGAGGAGACATGTTCAAACTTGGAATGCTGCATGGGAGTCCATTTAACTCCCCAGCTGCTAAAATACACGGCTGAACACTCTTTTTGCAGGTAGTGCAGGCAGAAGTGTCAAGGGAGCATCTTCCCTAATCCAAAGCATGACAAAACAGTAGATCACATGTCCTGCTGATAACCAGAATGAAGTGACACATGTACCTACTAACTCCTGGAGCAGTATGTGCCTTTCCAGAGGAGCAGTGCACAGAATTACAGCCAAAAGTGTCACCTTCTCCATCCCAACTACTCCAAGAGCTTCTCTCTTCTACAGACACAAGTGATGCAGTGGGATGGGGTAACTCACTTTGCCAGCAGGAATGCCAATGCCACAGAGCATCAGCAGTCATCTGGTGAATGTGACACCTGAATCTCCGGTCAACTTCCACTTTCTGGGCCAGTCTCCTTTTCCACAGGCTGAAAGCCATCTGCAAATAATGAACTCCATGCTTTAGAGCTGCTGCTGCTGCTTTTTGGTTCTTATTTTCTATGACCCAGTGGTGCCAGCTGAGAAAGGCTCTGAAAAGGACAAAGGTTGCTGCACTGACTGTAGGAACAACTCACAGAGATACACATCTTTGCAATGGAAAATTTAACAGCAAACATACACACAAGGGAGTTTTGGTAACAGATCTGATCTGTTAACATCCTTTCCCCATTAAATATCAGGGGAAATGATGGACGGGACAAGCTGTTCAGAGTAAAGTTTTCTGTCCTGGCTGTGCCAAGCCTGTTGTGTTCTTCAGCTTTGGAATCAGTAGAGAGCAAGGGGAGTTCAGTGGATAGGAAGTTACCAGGATTTGTTATCAGCAGAGCTGGGCTTGCTCTAATTTGTGAGACATTCTATCAAACCAGAAATTTTTGTGTTCCTACATAGTAATTTTGAAGCTGAAAAACCCGAAAATAATGAGCTGCAAACTTCCACTGAAGACAAAATAAAATAGCTAGAAGAAGAATTTTTTCCTTTTTTTTTAATTAAAGCAAGTGTAAAGCTTTCAAAACAGAGAGCTTTAGGAAACTTCTGGAAAGCATGATCCCTACCTAGACAGCTGAATGCGCCTGCAGTACTGTTGGGCCTTTACATGGTGCTGAGTTTGAGCTGACCAGACAACGAAGCACTTCTGCAGGCAGTATTTGTCTGCTTGCTGCCAGCAGCTCTTCACCTCCTTGTCAGAACTGCAGCCCTGTAATCCAGAAAGGCAAAAAAGGGCCTTGAACTGCTGTTATATCAGTTACTCCACACAGCTCAGCAGCTTCTCCTTGCCACTGGCACCTCTGTGAGTGCCCAGCTCTGTCACTAACCCATACACCCCACATGAACACCCAGACATGAGGGTCTAACACATCCCTTTTAAATCCTTGTCACCTGCCCTACTTCCACTCAGCTGACAAATGGTAGGGAAGAGTTACCCTGAGAAAAGCCTCAATCTCCCAAATCGTCTATTAGAGAGAGAGCAAAATAGCAGTGAGACCTTCCATATGCTGCTACTGAAACCCAAAGACTCTTTGCTAAATTTGAATATGCAGAAAACACTTGTATATTTACATTTTTCACAGCAGTTTCTAGCCTCACCTCTTCCCACGCAGAGTAACTGGTGAGAGGCTGGAAATTATTATCTGGACTCTGGAGCACTGGAGACTGGAACTGGTTTCCCACAAACCAATTTCTTCTGCAAGACAAAAGTGTTGGTGAGGAAGGAAAGAACGAAGAAGATAAAGTCCCCTGGAAGGATGGTGTGACATGACATGAGGGATTATCCAGAAGGAAGGAATTCAGCCAGTCCAAACAAGGGCTCACTCCTACCAGCACCCCAAAAAACCAGTCTCCAACTCACCCAGATCCAGGGAAGGAGGTCTGCAAGCACAGCTCCCCACCCAGCTCAGCTGGTAGCTCTGTGCCCTGGTGGAGCTGAAGGAGAGAACTGTGACAGGACATATGTGTGACATCCTCAGCAGTCAGGAGGGAGGAGAAGCCGTGCTGGCTGCTGTCACTAAGACTGCATTCCTGCAGGTGTGAAGGGAAGAACATGCTGTGAGGTGAAGGTCCTCACAGTGCAAGAACCCAGAACACAGCTAACAGCTCTGACCATGCCTTTTTTTTTTTTTTTTTTTAATTTTTTTTTTTTTATAATCAAGGATTCAGACAAATCCAAAATGCATCCAAAGGAATTGCAGGCTTGCCATGACACCTCTGGAGAGTGAACATGTAAGTGATGGGAAAGTTATTTCTATACTAATAATTTCCATACCAAATCCAGAAATACATATATTTCTATATTGAGAAAAGGGGAAATGAGCATATGCACTGTCACAGTGAGGAAGCTCTTTATATCTCATCCCTTCTACCTTGCAGCCACAAACAGAAGCAACTGTACAAGGGAAACTCACTAGCTCAGCACCTTCCCACATCTCTAAACGATGAACCAGAAAAGGCACAGAGAGCATTGACTTCACACTTTCAGATTTCATTTCAGCTTCAAGACCCCACAGATTCAGCAGTAAATTTTAAGCAGAGTTTGCTGATGACAATACCATGTTGAATAGAATTTTTTCCCCTGAAAAATCCCAGCAGTTTAATACCTGTGAGCAGTCTAGGTGTACCAAGACCTTCTCACCTTTTCCAATGAGCTTTGAGAGGTCAGAGTAGCTGGTGCACTGCTGTCAAAGCCAGATGATGTTGAGAGGTCCTCAGAAAACAGCATGGCAAGAGGTTCCTCATAGACAGCTCTATGCAAGTGCTTAGAACTTTGTTCAATTGTCTTCAGCATGAGATACTTTTGGTGCCATAATTTCAGAGTTTTTCTGAGTTTACACTGCTCCAAAGTCTGAGAGAAAGAACTGTGACAGAAGATACTGAGACAGTAAATTGACAGAGGAAGAACACCAGAGGAGGTGACTATCACAGGCATGATGGACAATAGATGGGGTAAAAGGGGCTCTAGCAAAAGGTTCTGAAAATCAAGTGGACACTACTAATGGGGGCAGGGCACAAGGGACTGGCTCTTCTCCACTCACTCAGCCTTGTGATGCTCACACAGCCTTGTTTTCCACAGCAGATATACTCTCTGCAGCTTCAGTTTTTGGCAGAAGTCATCAAAAGAATAGACTGATTTTTCCAGAAACTGTCTCTCTCCAGTCCATGATGTCTGACCTTCATGCCTCTTTGTCACAGTCATGTCAGCTGCTGAGCTCATAACTGCTCCTTAACCAGTTACATAAAGGAACAAGAGATTGTTTGTCTCAAGGAATTCCAACCCAGCCCAGCCCAACCCACAAATTTCTTCTTTTCAGCAAGGTTTAAGAGTTTATGTTTGGTTTATGATGCAGAGTGACAAACCTCCCTGTAGCTTCATTGACACACCCAGAACCAGTCCTCTGCCCACTCTGGTTTGTTCATACCCTGTATTATCTAAGCCCCTCTGTTTTCAAGTGCACAAGAAGAAGAAGGAGCCTAAGCACCTCTAGAGCTTAGATTCTGCACAGACCCCAAACTGCTCACCATAATGCTGCCTCCATTGTAGGAGGAAGAGGTTCACCACTGCCTGCTTATCACCTCCTCTGACCTGCAGCATCTCAACCCACTGCTGGAAGTGCTTCCTCAGTGATACTGCTCTGAGATGGGCCAGGCTGCACCTGTCAAGTGCCTTCTCCTCAACAGTCTCCTTCCATGTACTGAAGCACCTGAGAACACCAAAGGAAAATGCTGAAAAACACTTATACAAGCTTATGTGTTCTTCCTGAGACTGGGTTTAGTTCAGGAAAGACAGACACAATCTGAGCTTCTATTTGTTTATTTCAGTAAAAAGCCACTGTCATGCTTAGAGCATAGCAGCACAGTGGCTGCTCTTGGATTTGGTCTTTCAGGACATCAAAAGCTGGGACAAAAAAGTTTTGGCAGTGCACAGGAGGCAAGTCATAACATCTCTGGCCACAGCAGTTCCTTTTTATGTTTCTACCCCTACCTTCATCTTTATTAACTCCTAAAACAAAAGGATAGATGGTTTTAACATGGAACAATTATTACTGTCAGGGTTGGCTCTGTTATTCCATGGACTTTCACAGAGAACAGATTTTTCACATGAAAACCAGATCTCATCAACTCACCGGGAGACCAAGTTTCTTTGGATTTGAGTTGCCATTGCTAGAATCTCTTTCATTTTCAAGCTTTGGGAATGCCACATCCAGAAAATGTTTTGTAGCTTCTTCTTTTCCAGCAGAGCACGGGCTTCCAAGAGCCTGGCTTCCTCTTTGCTCAGCAGCTCCTTCTGCAGGCGCCACAGTCTGAAAGCTGCTGTGTCGAAGGGCAGGAAGAGATTGACAGGAACAGAAATAGCAGAAGTACTTAAAAAAACTTTGTGTCACACAGCAAACATTCCCTGGCTTAAATCCAAGCTGCCAGAGGAAGGACACTTAAGGGAGGCAGCTCACATTGCTGGAGCAACACATGCTGCAGCTGAATTCATACAAGGAATGAGGCAAAACTTGTATGACATGGTGAGTGGCCATCCTCCACCATCACACATATTGGTCCAGCTACTTACAGGATCACACTCTGAAAGAGCTCAAAGCAGCAACTAGACACAAAACCTGGTGAAACAGTGAATACCTCCAAGCTGTTCCAAGGCTATGGAATGTGTGCTTACCAGCCAGCTGTCTCATGTCTCTGATTGCTTCCGCTCTCCAGCAGAACTCATCTCCTCTCTGCCCATGACGAAGCTGTGTCCACAGTTTTCCCTCCATCCTGAAACAGCCACAAACATGCCTTGACATCCAGCTGCCCAAAGAGGCCTTCATAGAACAGAATCCAGGGCTTTCCTCTCTCTTTTTTTCTCAACTTGTTCTTCTGCCTTCAGAATTAGAAGCCTCAATAAAAGGCTTTTCTTTGACACCTCTACTGCCAAACTACTGCTAGAGACTGTAGTTACTGCCTGACTCCACCTCATTTACCCCTGTATCACATATGCAGGTGATAGCTGAAGCAAAGAATTAGTACAGGAGTATTTCTGTCAGACACTCAGACTGCAAACACTGGTACACAGAAGCTCTGAAATATAACTGTTTAATTCTTAACACCAAACTGCTAATTCTTGCAGTGTTTACCCACAGCAACACATCCAAGGACATGGAAACAAGTCTGCCATCATTTGAGAAAAAAATTTCCCTGTGTTTCTAACAAGCCCTTTGCCCCAGGTAACAGAAAGAGAATGCTCTCTGCTTACCTATGAGCCTGCTCCACTTCCTTTGAGTATCCTGCTGCAAGCTGATGCTGAGCTGAGGTTGTCATAGTGGCTAATCTTCCTACTCCAAAACTCCCTGCTGATGAACTTTGGGTATAGGAGTAAGGCTCAGGCTGCAGAGCTTCCTTCTTGCTCTGTTTTGCCACAGCGTTCTTCCACTGAAGAAGAAACCACATGATCAGAACAAACTGCAGATTGTATTGGAAACAGGGTCTACATGACAGAATTTCACACAGGGTACCCCTTCCTCCTCCCTATCTCAGCAGGATTTGTGCCTTTTCTGACTGCACAGCAGAAAGTTCATGGCACCAGTGTCCCTGACCAGTGCTCACCCTCTGGAAGCTGGCAGCTAGCAGAGTTGAAGCATGTCTCTGCTGGGCCACCTCCAGTTGTGTCCTCCTTGGGTGCACAATCCACTGCAGAGCACCAAAGCCCTTCTGAAGCAGCTGGTGTCTGTAAAGCTGCGTGGCTGCCCTCTTCCAAAGGCTATATCTCCTCCAGGCTTGGAAACACCTTGTTAGGATTTGTTTGTCACAAGAGTGCCAGAAACTTAAAAATGAAAAACAGAGGTGAGTTCCTGTTAACAGAAAGGAAAGTTAAACCAGCCAGGAGGTGGCAATCAGAGTTCAGCCATCAAGCTGTAAAGAGGTTATTTCAAATCATTCTCTCTAAAGAATGGAAAACATGCAATCTCTCACCAAATTAAGGAATCTTAAACTGTTGCTAAACTGGTAGCAACTTCATTCACATCTTATCCACAGATTTGAATTCCATCTCATGGATAAGTCTAGCTCTTGATCTTCTCTAACTGGGCAGTGAGCACATTGGAATTTGCTGCATTGAAGAATAGCACTGATGATACCAACACTTCTTCATTTCTAGCAACAACCAAGGCTGAATTTAGAAGATAGCATTGAAAAGACACAGAAATAATTTTTTAGGTCATGCTCCAGTCTAAATGACAACCGTTTGAAAAGAAGTGGATGCAGCCCTTCAGACAACCACAGCGGATTAAGGTAGGCTAAATCCTAAACCCAAATGCTCCTAGGGACATGACTCCTTAGTCACTTTCCAGAAGTGCTCCTTGGTTAACTACCAGCACATTCATACTTAAAACACAGAGTCTTTTTACCTTTGCTCGTTCACCTTCAATGACCAGAAGCTGTTCTTTGAGATCTGCAAACACACAAGAGACAGTAATTCACAATTATTCACACTGCTCCACTCTGTTAAGAATTTTTCCTTGTGGCACACATCATTTTGGATGGAGATCAGAGCAGGACAGCCTCAAGATCATGTATTATGTGGGATGCCTTGGACACTGCTCCCACACCATTGCTCTGTGAATATTCTTATATATTTCAGATATAAAAAGGCACAAAAAGCCTGAAATCTCAGGGCCCTGCAACAATGCACAGAGTAAAATCCAGTTTAATGCTTTCCCTAGGCATGCAGATCAGAGAATAGAAACAGGTGTTTACATTCCCACAACAACCAAGCTGACAAGCTGGTCTTTAGGCACAAACATGTGAGATGCAAAGATGCATACATTGGGATGAAGAAGGATGTAAGAGATGAGATTCTGGCCATTCAGTGACAAGAAAAAGCTATAGGACAAGCATCCCCATCACTTGTACCTCAACTCTGCACCTCTAGCAAGTGGCAGAAACAAGCACAAGTAATACCTGTGAACAGAGATGCTTCACAGTGACCACACCCTCACCTCTCTGGGCACAGTTTTCTGTGTCTGGCTCCCTTCTTCACAGCACCGTGGTTCTTTGGCATTCCTTTCTACAGAACATTCTTCAGACTGCTCGAGATTGCCTTCAGCTTCCAAATTCCACCGTCTGCTTTGGTAGGAGTATTTGTTTCTCCTTCCTTCTCTGCTCACATTCATACAATCTACATCAAAATGTTCATTAAAGCCTTCTTCAACTGGTGTACCCAAAGGATTGGACTGGTTGCTGCCCACTGCAGCTGTTCTTCTGGCTGCTCGTGATCTGGAGTCACACACCTCTTCTGACTCTTTGCTGCACTTAACATGAGAGTTGTTGACTTCTACAGATTTAACACTAAGCTGCTGGCCTGGTCTAAACTCTTTATCTCCAGGATGAGAAGCAATGCTCACATACACTTCTGTAGGAGTCCCACACACGGCTACACCAACATTCCTCTGAGCCCCCCCAAAATCTGTCTCCAGTAATACCTGCAGACCCTCTGGATCCAGACTGGCTGAAAGGTCTTTCTTCCAAGACTCAACACATGGAGACCCTCCATTAGACGTCTGTTCTCCTTTAACAACCTTTCCAGGAGAATGACTTTTTCTATGAACATAAAAACTACCAGTTTCCAGAGATGGCTTTACCAGGGACTGGCATCTGAAGAAAGGGGAGCAACTGAAGGAGGAATCTGCTTCTCTACCTACTAGCCAGCCAGAGCCTACTCCAGAAACAAGGGTTTGTGGTTGGATGCCACCTGAAATTTTGGTTCTCCATACGTTTGAGCCAATGTATCCGTATCTGTAAGAGACAGGGAGAGGCTCAGCAGGACTGAAGTCTCTTGTCACTGCACTAAGGCTCCAGTCTTTAGCAAATGGGAAACCCCATTTCAATCTTGCCTGAGCAGCACTGTTTTTTCCTGCAGCTAGCTGTTCTCCCATGGTCAGGATACTGGGACCTAAATAATCAGGAGCAAAGCATGAATGGCCAATGCCTGGAGGAGACTCAGACTCCAGAGGGAGGGAACCCCGTATCCCCATCAAAGCACTCTCTTGCCTCTGGACCGAACAGTACAAGCAAAGGACCCTGAGTATTTCCTATCTCATCTTGCCTAGTTTGCCAAAGCCTTCGGGTACTTTCCTTGTGAATTTCTTGTCTCTGATCCACCAGCCTCAGTCCTGAAAGTGTTATGGACACTACTCTCTTCCTGTTTTTCAGCAGACAATCGTATCTGGCAGAGCAGGAATGAATGAAAAGGACAGATTCAGTTCTCAACAAAAAACCTGGAAAACAAAGACTTCCAGCATTACACACCTGCAGCCTCAGGAGTCTGTTGCTAGCAAGGCTGAATTATCCTCAATTCAAGTCTACAGAGATTTATTTATTTTTGTCTGCACTAAAGGATGAAACCATGTTTACGTACCCATAAAAGCCACACTGTTCCCTAATCTGGAAGACTTAGAGCATAGCTGGGAGACCTACTTTGCAGTCTAGCCACTAAGTCTGATGGTTATACATATAACACTCATGCTGAAAATGGATTCTTAAGTTGCTGCTAACAGGCAAGTGCAAATTGAGAGGACTGTGGTTCCATTCCCTCAGATTTTAAAAGCAAGTTGTCAATCACTGTCATCCTAACCACTGTTCTTTTCCACATCTCTTTTAAAATATGAAAATGGTATTGTATAAAGACAGACACATCTCTATCATCTTAAAACCCCCTAGTCAATCTGAGAAGAGACAGCAATGAAATCAATGCCCATTGTCTTTTTCAAACACTCTCTAATTCCAGAAAGCCTTCTGCCAAATTGCACTTTCTAAGCTGTGTTTATCGCATTCTCTTCTACCAGAACATTTGAGTCTCAGTTGTCCCTGTTTGTAACAGCTCATTTTTCCCTCTCACATGCAAACTCCTTCAGTAATCACCGCAATCTGGGGAGCAAACACGGTTTCTAAAGCAGCAGGAGACAGTCAGGCGGTGCTGCAATTATCCCTGGGAACTGCTGTTACTGCCTTTCATAGATCACCGAGGGTGCCATGAACGGAAAGATCCCATTATTTTCTCCAGACCAGTTGAAGTTGGCAACTACAGAGTGAACAGACAAAGCACAGCTGCCTTCCTCAGGGTGCTTATCACTGCATGAAGTATAACCACAAAAATGCAGTAGGCTGGTGTTCCATGGAAGCACTCCTTGCATCCCAGAAATATCCAATCAACAAGCAGTGTATCACAAAAGGGTGTTACAAAGGATTTAAATCGCAAAAGGACATAAACCCACCATGCTTTTCAGTGTTGTTTTGCTCTGTGAATACCCAAAACCTGGCTCTGGACTACCTTATGCTCAAGAATCTGGATGTAATCTATTTTCTTGATAATAATCTATTTTCTTGATAATTTGTGATTTTTTTTGGCTCTCCATTTCAATTCTTTGTGCTAGGTACCAGGTTCTCAACACATCACCATGGTTATTTCAGGTGGTGTCCTTCACCGCACTCATTCCTAATTTCAGTCTCATTGAGATCTGGAAGAAATAGTATCCTTTCAAAATCACATTTGTCTGCCTTCTGAAATTGCAACTCAGATCTCTAACATAACTTTTAAGCAGTAGGGTTAGTCAGTCACAACAAGATCTTATGAAGATCTTTTTTAAAACTTTTTCTGAGGCCAAAAGATACTCAAGGCAAACTGCACATTTTATGAACTGGGAGATCTACTTTTATGCAAAATCCATGACCAATGGATTTTATACTAGCTTTTATTATTCCAATTAAAACATTTAATGCATGCTTACTATATAGACACATTGCAGCAACACACTAATGCATTAAAACCTGAAACAAATTCAATTAAGCAAATAAAAATTAAGATGATCACGTTATTTCTGTTGTTATAAGCAAAAGGAAATAAACAGCACAGTTAATGAAAAGTAAATCAAGCTCTTTCAAGCAAACAACGCCAGATCCATAATACACCCATTTGTGCTGCACACACAGTGCTTATTTCCCGATCCCTGTAGATCACGGCTGATCCATTCCATATTCCAAGTAGGGGCTATTACTCCAAGATCATACTTCAGCTGCCTTAAAAAGCAGGATTTTTTCCAAACACTGCTGAGATCACACTTCAGCTGCCTTAAAAAGCAGGATTTTTTCCAAACACTGCTCAGCGTTACAAACCAAACCAACCATCACTGCCGTCGCATGATGCCTGTGTCAGCGTTCAGGAACACACATAATCACAGGATATGATTCTATGCAGGTGCTTTTATTGAGAGCTCTGGGAATCAGGGGTACACACCCAAATCTGACTCCGACATGGCATTCGAGCTGAACGTATTTTATATTCTATCATTATATAACTTACATATTAATTATTAAACTTATATTGTTCTATTGTATACATTGACATGAGTTTCTCATGATCTTTCTTAGGCCTCTGACCATAGTTTCTCATTATTATTCTTACGATTAAACAGTAATTATATTTAATTACTAAACAATTATATCATTTATCATGTACTAGCTACACAGGTGCAGTTCTAGCAAGGTACAAGGCCTTCATGTAAAATTAATTTTTTTCTCAGGGCCTACTAAGCCTAATTTTCCTTTTAACCCTAAATCCCCATGATTTTAAAAGCCTTTTACTATCACCTGTGAGACCAACAGGCACGCACAGTGGCCTTCCCTCCCCAGCGCTGCCACCCAAGCATGCCGGGGTCCCAGGACGCAGCAGAGGGACTGAGAAACTCCTCACCCACAGCCGAGGCTTCACTCACCCACGGCCAAGGCACCCACGGCCGAGGTTTCACTCACCCACGGCCGAGGCTCCACTCACCCACGGCCGAGGCTCCTCTCACCCACGGCCGAGGCTTCACTCACCCATGGCCGAGGTTTCACTCACCCACGGCGAGAGGTGCTGGCCGGGCCCCGGGGACTGCCCGCACACATCTGAGCCGCCCTTCCTCCGTGGCACAACCGCCCTCAGCCCCTCAGCGCCCGCTCCAGCTGGGGCTCCATAAGCAGCTTATCCCCACGATTAGCTCGGTGACCGGGGCTACAGATGTCCGGGGAAAGCTGCTCTGGGCCATGGCTAATTAAAGCTGGGGAGAGGGGGGCTCATGCCGGGTGGGAGCCATGCCCGTCCTGGGCACTGCCTCAGGACAGCCACCACTTCTTCCTCTTCGCCCTCCTCCCCAGCCAGAACCCAAAACCCGCCAGCGCTGAGGCAGCACCTGCCCTGGGCGGGCTAGGCTGAATCCTATGGAGCTGCCCGTTCACCACCAAAACCCTGGGCACAGCAGGACTCGAGGATTTCAAAAAACAAAGCAAAACCAGCTGAATGTGGAGCATTGCACCTGTCTGGATGAGGAGATCTCACTGAGAGCCACCGTGAAGCCAGCAAGGCCATGCTCTGGCACAGCAGCTCCATGAATCCCCTCACGCCCTCCTGAACCTCGTACAAACACTCTTCCTCCTCAGCCAGGAGAGGGGTCTGTGGATATTCTCAGTTCAGTCAGAGAGAAAACACGGTTTCTAACCAGGCAGGAAACAGTTGGGAAAGAATGTAAATAATTCTTTATCTCTCTTGTTTATAAATAAGTTCTGCCACTGAGCGTTATTCACTGCACACCAGCGGTGTGAGAGGTTTTTACTCTGCGACCAATGAAATTGGTCTGGACAATGCTCTCTATAAAAGAGTGATGTATTTGAAATAAATCGGAGTTTTACTCTCTAGCCTTCTGAACTGGAGTTCTTCCGTACTGTCCTGCCTCAATGGCGTCAGGGGTCTGTTTTTATCATCGCCTCCAATTTACTGCCCAAAATAGGTGTCTGTAAGAGGCACTGTAAGATCAGTGTTACTCATGCCTTGCTCTGCTTCTCAGAGCTCCAAAATGTACCAAATTTTCCACAGAAAAATGCATAGCAGGTCAGCTAGATGGGTATTTCCAATGTATAACATCTGGGAAGGCCTCCCTAGATATAACTGACTGTGCCAACACCCAAACCCCACAGCATTAAAAGCAGTGATTTTAAGTTTGTGGTCCATGAATCAAAGTGAAAAAATTCCCTGAGCATTTAAATGTCTTATTCAGGGCTCTGTGCTGTCACTGTACAGTTCTAAAGAGCTGAAAAAACCCATTCACATAAAGGCTCTGGAACTCCACAAGCCCCAGCAATTTCTGCCTACTCTTTCCTTCTTTGCCATCTAATCACAAGAACAGACCAATTCCTATTCTTGTGCCCTATTATATGTAAAGCCTGTAAAAAGAATGTACAAGACTTCTGTGGCATTTACCATGTTCTTGGTTCAGGTACACCAATGTAGTGCTTGTGCAGCAGAGTAGAGGAAGCATCTGCTTACGTTTGAGGTGATCAAAGTTGGGAGAAAACTGCTTGGTTTTAAAAATACAAATGGCATGCTTCTGGAGGTTAAAGCAAAGTCAACAGGGCTCTTGGTTACTGAAGAATCAACACAGCAGAAGGTCTTGTCCAGAGAAATGCAGTTGTAAAATAACAGATGTAAACTTTGAAAATGAACTTGCTTCAGAAAAATACCTATCTTCTGAGCACTAGAATTCTGCCAAAGCTACCACACTAATTTTCTTCTGTAAATGAATCCTGTTGAAATATGGTTGTTTGCTTGCTTCTGGGGTTCTGTTTGGTTGGTTTTTCTTCTTTTACAATCTTACCTGAAAGCCACGACAGATTTATCCTGCATAACAACAGAGTCTACAGTCTGTCACACCCAATGGAACTCACATCTACAGTGTAAATAAGTCCATCTTTCCTCAATCCCCATTTTACTAGCCCATCTTCCCACCCACACAATTATATGCAGAATCTTCTACTATCCAGAGTAAAGCTTAGGCTAAAAGCCATCAGAGCCCTGTAGACCTTCCCCCATAATGACCCTCCCAGACTGCCTGGCTACAGTCCAGAGCCCTCAGGTAAAGCTAAATTTTCAAATGAGACATAAGTGACCAGCGTAGCTTTTTCTAACACAGAAAAACTGTGTTCATTTTATAGTTTTCTTAGAAAAATGTAACATTTCAAGTTCTGTTATGACAAGCAGCTGAAGGCAAAAGGATTTTTCAAGGCACAAAGGCACTACATTCAACAGTCATTTTAAGTATCCTGAAGGACATTCAACTTGTGTAAAAGCATCACTTAATAAAACCCAATACCAGATACTGGGAGCACAAGAAGTTAAATAATGCCATCAAAAACAGCTCTTGAGAACTCCTAGATGTTTCCTGGAAATATATCTGCATAAAATCAGGCTACACTGTATTGGTTTAGGGCAGTCCATAAGCCTTTCAAAGATTGCTTGTCCAGGAGTACTTTGAGTGGTTCTCTTATAAAGAAGAGGAAGCACAATGGAAGATTGGATGGCTGCAGAAAGTGCATCCAGTCACACGTACAGAGGAGGGATTTAGGGGAGGGAAGAAAGGAGAGTATTGGGATTACACAGTGCTTAACATGACACCTCCAGGATCTTCTGGACTTACTGCAGAACCCATCTGCCTAACCTTTAGGTAGGCAAAAGAAATATCAGATCTTCTCCTATCTTCCCAGGAGCAGGTGCTGCTCGATGGGAAGAGTGGAAGGCTTGGCTGGGCAGGAGCAGCGTCTGTCCTGGGCTGCAGGGTGCCTCAGTAGGGTGGCTGGGCTGCCTTGCTTGAGGAAGGCCACTGTGGAGGCGCATCTGGCTGATCAATGGGCTCATAGGTGCTGTGGTCCCGGCCTGCACTGGTGACACCTGAATGGACATGGAAGAGAACAAGCTTGGGACAAAGGCAAAAGCACAAGAACTGAATGCTCTAGAAGAAACTGTACAGCAGCTCAGGAGGACACATTTTACCAGCTCCCAGCACCTGTGGTCTGTGATCTTCACTGAACAGGCAGAAGGTAAGAAAAGTCATCCTTCAACAAACATGAGCAAGACACAGAAAACACCCTGTCTGCCTGGAATGGAGGGCAGAATCCAGCTGCACAGAGCTTGGGCTGAAGGGTCCAAAGTGCAAGGCAGTCCTGAGGAGGTGGCCCACACTGACATGGAAGCAGGAAAAGCATCCTACCTATGTTAAAGGTGTACTCTCCTCCACGCTCCCGATACATCCGATACACCAAATAGCAGGACACGGGCTTGAGGAGGAGGCTGAAGATGGCCATGCCTATACTGAAACGCTTCGCATCGCTGAGGAAGTCGTGTGAAGGGTAGAAGATAGAGATGTGAATGATGTCTGTCAGGACTGTGAGCAGCAGGCCAGTCAAGAGCTGGAAACAAGGACAGAGAATGGGACACTAACAGAACAAGGGTTTAACCACTGACAGTAACAGTCAGTTTCTGTTTCCCGTGAGATCTATGTTGCATAATCATCCTTCACCCCAGTATCACACAGCACTCTTGGTACAGCCCCAGGCAGACAGATACTCCTAGATGAATGATCTTTTATTTCATGCCTTTTCCTGTGTGATATCTTCTCATAACATAGTCTAGAATTGTTTATCTTTGTTTGCCAATCTATTCAATGTTCAGAAAAGGGTTTTACAGAGCCCCTCCAACTGAAGCATATTAAACACTTTAAGTCCTCATCTGGCATTACAAGTTACAACAGCAGGTAAAAACATTAAGAATCAAGTATGTCTCATCTCTGAGAAGAAAAATAATTGACAGTGAATGCTTCTCACCATGGATTACAGAGTTCAGAGATTTATATGCTCTCTCAAAAAACACCCAAACATGGAACTTCTGTATTGGGAACAGCTGAAAATCATCACTAGCTCAAAGACTCTTCCCTCCACCCTCTTCCTGAGCAGCCTAGGGGGAACCAATACTCTTACACTCACCATCGTTATGGCATCAAGGGAATCTCGCTGCACAATGGCCCAGATCCCCACTGCAAGGACACTGAAATTTCCCCAGGCATAGGAGACTGGCAACATGTAATTCATGCTTCCCCTGCCAAATGAGACAAAAAATCCAGCTCACATTCACAACAAGTCTGCAAAAGCTTGGTTTCATCCCTGTTCCCATACAAACACATCACTCTTAGATTTAGGATCTTCTTGCACACAGGCACAAACAGGGAGTGCTGGTTCCCAGGGAACATCCCATTCCTAGTTTGAAGGAATCCCCTCTTTTCCCCCAGGCCAGACACTAATCACTCACCACACTGTGAGCAGCCAATGTACCAGAATGATAGCCTATGGAAAAAAGAAACAGGAAGACAGGTTAGTATGTTGGGAGAACTCTGGGAGGATCAACGTGAAATGGCACCATCTTGTTCCCAAGGGATGGGTGGAAGAGTGGCTTGGGCCCATGAACCAGTGCAGAAAGATGGTGAAGCAATTGGGACAGTGAAGACAAAGCTATTTTTCTCCACATCTGTTGCTGAGTATGTCCTGTGGTGCTACACTGTAGTCATTCACTCTTCTTGTCATCTCTGTCAACAGCTGATTCAGGGACCACTTAGCCTTTTCTAAATGGGTTATTAATTTTGGAACTCCAGAAGAGTTTGCACAGAAAGCCAGGCAATCTGATTAACGCTGTGCTAGCACAGTTCATACATTAACAATCTGGCATCCCATCACCAAAAAGCCCATGGATAGCCATGCCTACAGCTCCCAGAATTTCCCTCCAGTCCTCAGCAAATCCTTCTTTTACCTCCTTCCAGTCTGTTCAGAGCAGTGGTCCAAGCTCACTGCAGTATGAACAGACCTGAAGGCTTTTTCCAGGACTCTGTGAACCTGATCCTGCCAGAGCACACAGCTCTTTTCACTCCCAGTGAAGCCACTAGGTCCCATCACCAGCAGTGGCCTGAGTAGCAGTAAGATAATGCTGTCACAAATTCTGTATTTTGCAAGTGTCCTTAATGATCCTGGTCCTTGTGCTTAATGGGACAAATCCAAGAAGAAAGGATCATACTGTAATAAGTGATACAAGGATGCTCTTCACCACCACTTGCCATTTTTGTAACCAAGGAAACACACCCTACATGTTTATTCAGAGAGCAAATGGGAACAACAATATATCACTCCAGGCTTTTTCTACATCTATAGTCTGCTGGTTACTCCAGCAAAAGGAGATCACTCCTATTTCCTCTCTAAACTTTTCTAAAAGCAAGAATATGGGAGACAAGGCTCTGTTAACAGCCTCACTAAGGAAAGGCTGAAGCCTGGACATATCAGAGGATCCATGGGATACAGGAGCACTTTCATTTTTTCCTAGCTGTGAGAAAGGCTTCAAATTGGCATTTCTGCTGACCTTGGTATTAAAACAACCAAACCCACATTACCAAAACCCCTCTGAAGCACACTCCCCTCCGCCAAAGGAAAAAAAAGAAAATTAGGAAATGAGTACACAGCAAAAGAATAAGTTACTCAGTGAACACAGGAAAGCTGTATGCAGATAGGAGCATTAAGACACAAAAGATAAATTAAGACCTACTGACAGCCTGCTAGATTCTTTGACTTAAAACATCTCTCATCCCACCACAGCTGCTGAGCACTCACTAGACTTTGCTGTAACTTCCAACAATGCTTAGACAGATTTTTACTAATTCATTTTTTAAATTGTTTATGAAAGCTTACAAAATGCTTCACTACCCCTCATGCTTCCCCTTCTCCCAAATTGTACCACAGACACACTGGAAAACCTGCTAATGAGTAAAATACAAGATGTTCCTGGATAAGAATGGAGACATGCAAATAGCATTTACTCAAGAGACTATCACAACATCAGGAAAAATTTTAATTAGGTAGTATTTAATTGCATGTTACATACCCACAAGAACCCTCAAGGCTCACCAGTTAACATAATTAGGCAGGGTGGGTTTTTTTTAAAGCTGTCTAGATCAATACTGCAGTTACTAAATTATGAGGTAAGTTTAGTCATTACCATATGACTAAACTAAATATCAGGTATATTAGGGCTTAAACTATGAATGGCTGCTGAAATAAAACCAAGATATTCCCTTTTTAGTTATTAGTCCAATTTACCTGACAGTTCTTCAGCACTCTGTGGAATGGCTGGTGGTGTTGGTATGTTTTAACACAGAAAATATGGTGTTAGCGAAAAACTACAAGCTACTATGTGAGACCAGTTAATTTGCAGGCAGTCTTCTGATAAGACAGCAGAAGAATTTAAAATTTTTTCCATCTATCCAAGGACTTAAGTCTGTAGGTAAGACAAACATACATTTCTTCTTTTGAGAAAATAACTCTGAAGTTATTGATGAAGAAAATAACTCTGAAGTTATTGAGAGCAGAAAATAAGAAAGGTGGGTCTTTTGTCTCCATCTCCTCTGGGAAAAAGGATGGCTATGTAATTAAAAGCATCCCATTGGAAACTGGGGAGAGCTAAGGAGAATTCCTACCTCCTTTGCAAATCCCAGCGTGTGATGGAACTAATTGCCAAGCATAAAAAGAGCCTAGGTCTGCCAGGGTCTCATTAGATGGGAAGCTCTTTGGAACCAGAACTCCTTTAAACATGCTTCAGCACAGAGCTTAGCACAAGACTGAATTTTGAACAAGTTAAAAATGAAACAGTTCCAAATTAAAATTATTTTCTTGTTTTTATCTAAATGTCTATTTTAGAGTGAGCTCACCTATTCTACAGCATTCACCTGAGAACACACAAAACCAAAATATGAATCTGAGTGGCCACCTGTGAATATGCTCCTCATTATTATAACAGTGTGATAATAATGAGAGTGCTTAAGCAGTGGGACAGGCTATCCAATGGGGCTGACATGGCTCTGTTCTTATTTTAAAACTCAGCTGATTTTTGAGTTGAGCTATTTGATCTAACTTTGCAGTTTGCCTTGCTTTGAGTAGGAGGTTTAATCACACGGCATACAGACATCTCTATTATTCCTTGATTTGGTGACTTAGCATTAAAAAATGCCTAAGCACAAAATACGTATTTCCAGGCACATGGATTGTAGGGCATTGTCCAGGCTTGATCAAAGTCAAACATTGTATTTCAAGGCTCTGCATGATTATTTCAATAATCACAGCTGTCATGGCAAAAGTATGGCTGTGCTGCTTCTCCTGTTTTGCTAAGCATGGCTGTTAAAACTGAGCCAGTAGATCCTGTTCAATGAACATGCTCCCCACCCACTCCAGGGCAAAGCCTACCTTAATTTTATAGCTCTGCAAGGAGCTTAAAGAGAGACCCCAAGGCTAAGATACTGCTACATTCTGGCACAAGCACAGCTCAATCATGCAGCTTTCTTTGAACTATTCTATCACAAGGCTCATCTTTATAATCTCACAGAACCAGTAAGCAGATCATGCCAATGAATAGCAGCAGTGTGTGTTATTTCCCCTTCTGAGTAAGAATCTTCCCCACCTTCGTGATATTTTACAGGGAATCAGGCCCTAACTCAGGAACAGAATGAAGTGCAGGCACAACTATTAACTCCCAGTTCCTGTCTTTGCAGCTCAGAGCAGAAGTGGCAGACTTCACAACCAAGAATTTCTTAATGCTGAAAACAGTTTGCCCAGGACAAACTCACACTTATCTAGCAAGAGGAACGGTTGTCTAAACAAGAGAAGAAAAGCAACATTTTAGTTTTGTTGTCTTTGTGACTCATTCATTGAAAAATCAGTGTTTTTCAGCTCTCCTATCTTCATTTCCCATGGAGAACATGTATTTCGTGCTGGCAAAATTTTTAATTAAAATGTCCTTAGTTTTCACTGTTGTTTTAGCATGGAAAAAAGAATAATCAAACCAAGTTAAAAAACAAAGCAGAAGGCAAGATCTTTTAATCTTCCTAGTGCCCTGGAACCACACAGTAGTCCAAACTTGTCAGAGCAAAGTATCAGGTAATTTCTAGAATGTAATATAATCCACAAGCTGGGCCTTGAAAAATCCATTTGCTTACTTGCCTCTAACAAGGGAAGTTGCTTTTCTTGGTGAACTAGTAAGAGGGGTATTCATCATTATATGAACAGCAATCTTTTCTTTAATACAGCCACATGAAAGCTGTCCTGTATAAAGCTGAATTAATAATGGTAGCTGAGATAATTCTATTCTCCCTTCCAACCCATAGGCAGCCTGGTCCAAGGCTACTGCTCACAGTTTAACGAATCACCAGCAAAAAAAGCCCTGATGTGATCTGTGATGCTTTCAGTCTCTGGGCAAAGCTTTAACCAAAGAAAGCACCTGAACCGTTTTGTATTAAATGAAATCACAAAGTAGTGAAGCTGGGAAAGGACAGAAACATCTAGAAATCTCAGGGCTCTGAAAATGTGAAAGAAAAAAGAGAAAGATACCACATGTCTGGTAGCACAGAAGACATCAGAATCAAATATCAACATCAAAAGCAAACAAAGTGTGATTTTAACATCCACTGGCTTGTCACCAAGTAAGTGCTTCTTCCAAAAGTGAAAAATGTTACGTTACTGGTAAAGTCTCTTATATCTCCTTTCCCTGGGTATCAGATATTCATTGAAATTTCCAAAGTGCCTGCAAGTGGAGCCTGCCCTCCCCAGCAGAGAAGCAATTGCAGTTATGTATCAGATGATAAGCCCCAAGTAAGTGAACTTATTTTTCTAAGATACTTTGCCTGACAAGCAAATCTTTGTTTCCTCAGGATCTTGTGCAGTGTTTATCTTGCCTTAGTTCTGGTCAGCTGAGCTAGAAACCTCCATGGACACTAGTTAACAGCCAGCTGTTGTCTCTGCACAGTCCTTGGCCACTTTAGCAATATCCCTGAAGTAGGGGCAAACTTTGGAGTCATCACCTGGTGGGTTTAACTAAGAATCATAGAATACACTGAGTTGGAAGGGACCCATCAGGATCACCAACTCTTTGCACTGCACAAGACAGCCCAAGAACTGCAGCCCGTGCTTGAGAGCGTTGTCCAAATGCTCCTTGAACTCGGGCGGGCTCCATGCTGTGACCCTGGGGAGCCTGTTCAGCGCCTGATCACCCTCTGGGGAAAAGGTTCTCCTGATAGCCAACCCTAAACCTCTGCACCCTTTGCGCATGTGATAAAAAAAAAGTAGAAACTTCAGTTTTTCCTCCTTAGGAAAAAGGAGGAAAACTTCAGTTTTTCCTCCTCAGAGAGCCCCGCAGCTCCGAGCAGGGCCTCAGGCAGGATCTGGATCAGACGGGGAGGGGTGCTCGGAGTGCCCGCGGCTCCACCCGCCCCAGGAGCTCCCCCGGCCCCGCTCCCCGGCCCCGGGTGCAGGGCAAGCCCTACCTTGAGGCTGACGGCCGGCAGCTCCATGGCACGGCCCCGGGACCGCCGGCGGGGCCGCTCGGTGCGGCAGAGCCCGGCTCGGGGCGGGGGGAGCCGGGACACCGCCCTCAGCCCCGCCCGGGCCCGGCCACATCGGGCGGTGCCGGCGGTGCCGGGCCCTTGGCAGAGCTCGCTGAGTTAGGCGTGTCCCATGAGGGCAGACAGCCGGGGTGCTCTGCCTGACTGATGTGCGCTGTTATAAATGCAAATTAGTCCAGCCAAATTAAAAATGAAATAATAAAAAGTTTATTTAGGATCGAGTTCTTCCTGGCGGTTCTGGGCTCTTGTCAGAGCTCGCTGAGGGGCGGCTGGTTAGGCGTGTCCCATCAGGGCAGGCAGAGCAGGCAGAACAGCCCGGGTGCTCTGCCTGCCTGATGTGAACTCTTATAAGTGCAAAACTAATCCAGCCAAATTAAAAATGAAATAATAAAAAAGTTGATTTAGGATCGAGTTCTTCCCGGCGGTTCTGGACCCTTGTCGGAGCTCGCTGAGGGGCGGCTGGTTAGGCGTGTCCCATCAGGGCGGGCAGCCCGGGTGCTCTGCCTGCCTGATGTGAACTGTTATAAGTGCAAAACTAGTCCAGCCAAATTAAAAATTAAATCATAAAAAGTTTATTTAGGACCGAATTCTCTCTGAGCCAGCCACAAGGAAAAGGACAGCGCCGAGCCCGGGTTCGGCTCTGGCTGTGTGACAGACAGGACTCCTCTCAGCAGAGGTTCCCCTGGACACACACAGCACCCTCCTGGACCCTACAGTTCTTATAGGAAATTTTCTGCCTGAGGCGAGGATTTCAGCCATCCGCCTTTTCTTGCTATTCAGAGTCCCACATATTCATAAAGTTCTTTTCTCCGAGCTGGGGTTGAACAATCCAGGTCCAGGCATGGACGATTTTTCCTATTTTTCCTGGCATTCAGATGTATCAGCCCGGAGGACTCCAGTGATCCCAATCTTGGGTCGTTCCAGGATGATCAGCTCCCAGGTCCTTTGGTATTGATCAGCACCCAGGTGTTCCAGCCCATCTCCAGACTGGCCACATGTATTAGATTGTAAATGAGGCATTGACTCTGGTGTAACCGAATATGTGGGGGAGCAGCTCACAGTGCTGGTGTGTGTATTTTGTAATAACTAAATATTATACATGCCAAATCATATTTCCCTTGATTCAATACAACACTATTTCATTGGCGCAAATTATAATCATACATAACAGAACAATCTCGATAATGCCTCTGTTATGTGTAGTAAACATAATTTGGGCCATTCCTTGTATGAAATATGCAATATTGGATACTTGACAGATTATGCTTGTTTGTATTGGAAGCCCCCCCACTCTCGCAGGCAAAACTTGGTGTATGTCAGAACCTAATTTACACGTAAAAGGATGTGGCTGGCCAGGAGATGGGCCATGGCTGGAGAGATATGGGGACCAGAGATGGATATCATGGAAACCCTTGAGCAGATACATGTGAATGCAGCGTTCCCATAAATTTCATCAAGGGATTCAACAACTCCCAGACACCAAATTGTTCTTCCTCATCACCAAAAAAAAAAAAAAAACCAAAAAAAAAAAAAAACACAAAAAAAAAAACCCCAAAACTTATTAACCTATGGACTCTGAATAGAAGAAAGGACTGACTGCCGAAATCTTGGCCTCGGGCGGAATTTTCCCTATAAAAACTGCTTGTGCAGGATGGAGGTGTGTGGGCACAGGGGAAAACCTCTGCTGAGGCTGACTTATTTTTTGCACACCCAGGGTCTACCCCGGGCTCGGCACTGTTCTTTCCTTGTGGCTGGCTAGATAGAATTTGATTGCAAATAAATGTTTTATTTTTTCATTTTAATTTGGCTGGACAAATTTTCATGTAAGGTGGATGCCACGAGGATGGTGCCAGACTCTTCTCAGTGGTACCCAGTCACAGGACAGTGGGCATAAACTGAAAGACCAGAAGTTCCAGCTCAACACGAGAAAGAATTTGTTTACGTTGAGGGTGGCAGAGCACTGGCACAGGCTGCCCGAGAAGGGCATGGAGTCCCTCTGGAGACAAACCCAACTAGACATGTTCCTGTGTCACCTGTTCCAGGTGGACCTGCCTTGGCAGGGAGCTGGACTAGCTGATCTCCAGAGGCCCCTTCCAACCCTAACAATTTTGTGAATTTGTTTCAAAAGCCACCATTAAGTCAAAAATATGCCTATATAAATTTCTTGGCTGCAAACACCCAGCTAAAGTGTGCACAGATCAGTTTGTTGGCTCCAAAAAGCCAGCCAAACTCTTCCTTCTGCTTGCACATGGACATTATACATTGATTGTAATCAGTGTCTGGGAAAGCTGTGTGCAAAGGACTTAGCAGCTTTCTGCAGGACGAGAGTTTTTGTGCATATATCAGTGGTGTGACCAAAAAGTAAGGAGTGACAAACAAACTGTTGATAGATACCAATAAAAAGGTTATTTTAAGGTGCTAACTGTGCTCAGCTATGTCACCCAACAGCTAAGTCAAGTTAAGGTCAGTCTTAGGGGTTGAGGCAGGTAGCTAGAATGACTGGCAGGTACTTAGTTGATTCCTTTGGCCCTGGATTTTTCCTTAGAACTAGATGACTGAACCCTTTGCTAAAAACCTGGTGCAAGTTCTTCATTTCTTATTCCAAAAGAAATCTGGTTTCATTTTAGAGCTAGAGAAGTTGCTAAGTGACCAATTCAACCCCGCACAGTTCAGCTATAATTTACCATTTTCTGTGCAGTTCATACCAGCAACCTTCTCCCCAAGTCTAGCAAATGAAATAACAGAACTCAGAGGTCAGGATGACATTTCTCAAATCCTCCTATCCTTGCCTAATGTGTGCTGTCTGCAGTGTAAGGCTGCAATGTCTTATTAAGTTAGTTCCTTTCTTGTCATTGTTCCTTCTTAAAGAAAAGATGGGGCCTGTGAGAAATTAGCTGGGTCACAGGTTCATTGCAGAAGTTGGATGTGGAAATGCATGAGTCATTCTTCAGTCTCATTTCCAGTTCAAGCAGTGAGAATTATGCAGTGCTGAACCCATCATCAGACATTCTCAAACAAGCCAAAAATGTAGTGCTATCCAGCCTGTCCTTGACCGTGTCCTGAGTGCTATTGACTGCTTCAAGCAGCACACTTCAAGATTTCCCAAGGCAAATCATTAAATGCCAAAATGAAATTACCTAGAAAATGCTAGGAAGCATAGAAGATAAAACTGACTGGCTGCATAGCTCAGAACAACAGTAAAAAAAACCAAAAAGGCTGTGAAAGTCCCCTCAGGAATCTCTGAATATGTCACTTTCAAACGAAAGATTGAAATATAACTCATCTATTGCCACATGACACATGAGCTGTGCCTTCACTTCCATTATTATGTCTTGCATGGACACATTACTGGGTCTTGCAGGGAAGTCCTGTCTCTATCTACAGAAGTGGTGGTATCAAATAACACCAATGATAGTGGTTCCAGAAATGCCAAGGAATGACTGGATTTCAACATAAATGACAAAAATACGTGACACTTGGGATGGGGGGGAAGCTAGAGAGCCTGAATAGCCACACTGCTGGCTCAGTGCTGTGTGTGAAGTGCACTAGGGTGCCCTTCTGCCAAGACAGGTATCTATCAAAGGAGAGCTGTTTGTTATGAACATAAATTCTGCTGTCCCAGTTGAATGATAAGCACTGTTAGGATGTAGCATCATGTGGGCGTCTTTGCTCCCTTCAGCTTTCTCACTCAGCCTGAGACAGAGTCTCATTATCATTTATGCAGCGTGAGCCATAATTTGAATTGATGTGTCCACTGTTCAATGCAAAGCATTTCCCCTTGTACAATAAAAGCATTTGATTTCATTTTGTTCATCAGTGTATCATGCAGTTAATTCATCCCTTCTTATTATATCCTGGGCTTGCATGTCATGGACTCAAGGGATTTAGGAATTATCTCATGGATATGAAAGCAATGAGAGCTGTGACTGACATTATGCATTTGTATGTCTGTCACACCTGTGTGATCTGGGGGTTGCTTGTTTTTTATTTCTACCTTGTGCTGGTGTACCTTGTAAATTGCTTCTCTTCCCTTCCCCAGGTTTAATGAAGAAACACAACATGGTGAGGAAGATAAGCAGTAAGTTAAAGAAGGCCTGCAGGGAGAAGCAGGTTACCCAGGAGACTGGATAAGCAGATTTTTGTGACTAGAAGACTGATTCAGGTGATTTCAGCTCACTGCAACCAATGCCCAGCAATTAGCTGCTTTATGCAAAATCTGTTGTTTTTAAAAATCTTTTGGTTTGCCTTGTGCAGACTGAGTAAAAGTCTAATACACAGCTGGATCCCCACCCTGATAGCATAAAAGCAAGCTAATAAAGCAGAAATGCTTTCCTTTGCATTTTCAGGACACTGTACCCTTGGTGTGTAAGATGATAGCAATTCCATAGGTTAATTCCATCGAGTTAATAAAATTGCTTCTGCTGTCCTTATCTGGCCCTTGGAGGTAGAGACAAGCTCACCTCTCATAGTTCTGCCCTTCTCCCCCTCTCTAGGGGTTTAGTCTGAAGACAACTAAAGGCTGCAGCTGACACCAGCATCTCTGAGTTTTGCCCCTGGCTATGGAGTTGAGAGCAGTGAAGGCACCAGCTCAGCACAATACATATATATATTAGCCACAGAGCCTTTCTGAATAAGCAGTGAGGAAGGACATATAGAAGTTGCCTGGCTCTACAAACTCCCTTTTAAATCCCAGTGGGAAATCAGCAAACAGAATCATTATCTGTATTGGAGGGGAAACTGAAGGCATTTTTGATGCTGGTGGAAAGTCTCCTCCTGCAATTGCACTGCAAAACAGACTATGGCAAGGTGATTTGGGGAGTGGAGAGGGTCACATTAATGTGGTGTCTTGACAAATGCACTTGGAAGGCCTTCCCAATCTCAGCAGCAATGAGCTGCTCCTCTGATTTTCTAAGATCTGTCTAAAGCTTTGAGATATCATTAAGAGACCACTCTTCAAGGTTCACTGACACTCCAGAAAATGAACTGACGCACCAGAAGTGGTTTTATGGAGCACAGATGCTCACTCAGA